CACTGGCCTGTCCTATTCCTGGTCCCTCCCTGATAGTGGAAACAGACATGGGGGCATGGGAACTTATCGGTGCTAATGAACTGGAAACCAGGAGTACTTTGCAGACCCTCCCTTCCTTGCCTGCAGAACACGTACCCCAGGGTCAAACAGTTGACCCTCTGTGGTGCCCTAATCTGCAAACAAAAAGCAAAAATCTGAGCCTTCCCTGAAAAACAAAAACAAAAACAAAAACAAAAGCACAATCCTCCAGAGTAAATACTCTCCAATTGGAAATAAAGACTTTTCAAGTTTGGGTCAAGTCCAGCACCGGAAATGCGACGCATTGGTGGCTTATGAATTTAGCTCCTTGAAACACGTTGAAAATGTCAGGCTTCCCGGGGAATGCCAATCAGATAAAGGATGCTTTACAGATACTGTTTTCCAATTGCAAGGCGGATTTGAGAATGTGCTGCAATGACATCAGTGACCCTGCAGAAGTCTGCACACAGGCCTCAAAAATGAGCACAACCCTGCATTTCAGCAGGACAGCCAGAGATCACAGCCTGTGCTGGTAGTAGGACACTCAAGTTGATCAGAAGATTTGCATGCCCACATGGTACCTGTCCTTAACGGGAATCTGCATTTCATCTGTAAGCCACAAAACCACAAGGAAGGGGTAAGGAGAAACGCAAAGTTTGCAAGTTTATGTAAATAAAGGGGGGGGCGCGGAGTAGATTTCAGTCTTTTACCAGAGGCCGAGTATACTGTTGCTACAGCTGTTGGAGCAGGGAGGGGAGAGGTGCTCTGAGGTGGAGAACATTCTAAATGAACCCATGAAATCTTAATTACTAGGTTCCTATCTGAAAAATCTTATCTCCTTTTTTATCTTGTCTTGCAAGGTTCTTGTGGCCCCTAGTTCACAGCATCTCATCAAGACAGGCCAGAGTAATCTCAATCCAGCAAATGACAATTAAGCAGCAATACTTAACAATTTGCATAATAGCTCGAACCCAGATCAAAGGTAACATTAGCGTTCGAAACTGCCAATATGGCCTGAGTTTTTGGCTTCAGGAAGCAGCTGATGCTAACAAATGTATTCCTTACTGAGAAATGCTACCTAAAAGTATACTTTGAAATTTTTCCTTAAAAACCCATACACATAACTCTTCTTTTGGAGTCTTCTGTCTTTAATTCCTCACACAATCATCCAGGAATCAGGTGATAAGTCTCAGTTATCACTGTATTTTATTTTTGGCATTTTCCAAATATACATCAAATGTCATCTGGGAGTGAAAAAAAGAGACCCTCACGCTTTTGACCTTCATCTTGCTGGTATCTTGAAAACCAGAAAGTATTTTTAATTAAAATATATTCCCTTTAATTAACATATGGAATAAGAGTGTGAGTTTGAATTAAATAAGGAAGTCAATCCTGACAAGTGCTATGTATTTCCTACAATGGTCAACCATTCTCATGGGGCACAATTTTGGTTTCCTGATAAAAATCGATGTTGAATATTTAATTCACAGTTCTCTCCTCCCTCCCCAACAATGTGCGAACTGGCTTTTATATAACACACGCACAAGCCAACCATAGCTTTGCTGTTTACTGCCTCTGAGGCATGAGGCAAGCACAGAACCTCCTTAAGCATGACCTGTAAAATGGGTATAATATGCCCCCTGCAGATCTATCATCAAGGTTAGAGACAGATAAATGAAGTGCCTTGGCGCACAGTAGGTGTTCAATTAAAGACTCATGTTATTGTCATTTAAGGAGGTAAAGGGAGAACGCAGTAATTGCCTTGCCTCCGAGAACTGGCCACATTGCCCCAAAAAATGTTCTTAATCTATAAAACGAGGAGGTTTGACCAGATGCAGATGGTCTCTAAAGCCCCTTTCAACCTGAACAATGAAAGTCCCTTAGAACCACCTTTCAGTTTAACTGGACACTGACGGACATTTTTCCAGTTATCTTAACTTGGGAGGACTTCATCAACAAAAATGGTGAATTCACCAAGTTGATGGATTTACACTCAGGCTAACTCTTTTCATTTCCAACAAGGTTACTGACTGAAGGTGAGAAAAAAAAATTTTCATGTTAATTTATTGCTAGCTTCTTGGTGTCTTATTCTAACATCACAGATGATGATAATTTTAAAGCTGCATTTGTAGATTTTTTCCACCTACAAGTTGTCATTTCCAAGACATTATTCTTACATTTTTCTGTTTAAAAATTCAAAAACATCTAAAACCCCCGAATACCTACATGATCATTAAAAAGGTTAAACAAAGGAAACCCTCATCTCTACCCCTGTTCCAAAATGCCCCAGTTTAAAATAACGTTTTTGAACTCAGTTCCTATTTCTATTTCCATTATGCTTTGCTGCAAACGATATTCTACAGCCACACAAAGACAAAACATTAGTGGTTAAGATTATTTAAAAGGTCTATTTCCATTTACAGTTTCGACCCTGAATGCTTAAAAAACCAAGACTTAGAAGCATAGGTCCTAACAATTCAGACCCACTGCAGAGCCTTAAACTGGATGGCTCGTGGGGCCATCAAGCATAATAATTCATCTGAAAAACTATTTGTTCATCTGCCTTGAGGACTCAAACATATTACATCTTGCAAACTTATGTAATATATTCTTGTGGGAGAACGCCATTGAAAATATGTCCTACTGCTTTAGAAAAATCAACACCAGAAAAGCCCCTATGCTTATTTAAGTTCCTTTTAGAAGAGGCCAACATCGAGCTGAATGCAATTTAGTCCAAATGGCAATATACCATATGTGACAACCAGTCCCCAAAACAATAAATCCGCACAGCTATCTTCTCAACCGCATGCATATGGCGATCAGATACACTGCTAGGTTGGTTTCAAACATTTTCAGCTTGTCATATGTCCTCCCACACACCTCTGTTCCCCAAAGACAGTCTCCAATGTGAGTTCATTACAAACTATTTTGGAAAACATGCTACAGTGCTCTCGGGACTAAGACAACAGAATAGTTATCTCAGAAACAAATATTTACAAAACCTCTATTTTTCTTTTCTAAAAGAAAGTTCAATTAAGCGATAGTTGACAGCACTGAAAACAATGGGAGTTTAGTTCCAAAAGATACCGTTTGGAAACAACAAGCATGTAGAAGAGAAGTAGGGTAGAAGTTATGTTAAGGTTCGCGCAGGAGACTCCGTGACTGAGATACAAAAGCTCTATTCAGAGCAAACAGTTTGAAAAAGCCACATTCATCCACCAAACGAAAAGCACAAGTTACAGTTTCATAATTCATAATTTAACTGACAAGCGTCAGCATCTTTGGGAGACCATTAACATATTAAATTCACAGAGCATTCATTAGATATATTATAATCACCTAAGTAGCAGGTGACCATAAGTTCACAAGCCAATTCCTTTTCCCCCACACTCCTCTTGAGAGCAAAAAATACAAAACTTTCAATAGCAAATGTACAAATATTACACATCTATACAGACTACATCTATCTATCTATATCTCTATCTATCTATCTATCTATCTATACATTCAGGGGGACAGAACCGAGATCTTGCAAACAAGTATCAGGGGAACCTTAGTAATCAAGATAAATTTCCCAGAGAAAACTGCCAAAAGGAAATTCAATATTTTAATTTACGTTATCTGATTATCTTAGTTGGGACAATGAACCTGATCGTGTGTGCAAGCAAGTCCACATTCTTCATATCGACTGGAAGGGCAATTGCATTGAACAGATTCTATGCTTGCCTTCCCCCACATTTTTTTTTTTTAATCCTAGGGGCTTAAATAATTGGCCACTGCGGAGTTTCTCAAAAATCTCTCAAACTCATAACATTTAACATGCTAGAAAATGAATTTAGCACCAAAGGGGAAAGTTAGTTGCCAGAGAAATGGATCATAAAGCTCTGAATGGCCTACAGATTGCAAAGGGTATATAGTAAGGTGTCAGAGAGAATATGGATGTGAAATCGTAGGGCGGGTAGAATAGGAAACATTTTGTATGTACTCTTCCCAAGGATAACAGTCCCTTTTTGCACTAGATCATCGGCAGCCCAGACTCACTAGCAGACGTCTTGCCTGGTGAGAGAGAATTTTACACATTCCCAGTCGAAAATGGACACAGACCTTTCCGACCCGCTCTGGCAATCCCTGCAGGTTTCTTTTTCATAACACGACCGAATACCAGTGGACGCTATGGACCCCATAGCGCCTGAGCTGGTAAGACAAACTTTCCTGTCAAGACTAACGAGCCAGATAAAAATTAGATCCACTTTCCTCCGAAATCCCAGCTCTTTACTTCTCCCGATAAACTCTCCACCCTAGTTTGACGACACGCAAAACCACCAGAATCACATTAATTATTAAATTACAGACCGCATATCAGACAAACCACCATGATTACGTAAAAATTACCTCTAATTTCTGCAACAGAGTACACCGGGCTATTTTAATGCTTTATAATTATCCATCCCCCCCCCCTTTTTTTCCCCCCTTTTTTCTCCTACCACCAGAAAGGAGTCTTCGCAAATCGAAGTCAGAGGAGCGGGTCATTTGGTGAGAAGGGATCTTTAAATGGGCCACGAGAGCCCCATCAGCCCCGCATTTCAGATGACACGAGCGTGCACGCGCACACCCCGCCCCGCTCGCCGCGCCCCGCCGGCCGGACCCCCGGACCCCGCGTCGGGCTCGCCGCTCCCCACCTGGTCCCCCGCTCGCCGCTCCCCCGCCTGGAGCCCGCGCCCAGCCTGCCGCCCCTCGGCCCGACCCCGGTGCCCGCTCGCCGGTTCCCCCACCCCGACCCCGGTCTCCGCGCGGCTCGGCGCCGCACGTCCCGACACTCTCGCCCCGCGCCGCCTCCGAAGCCCAGGGGAGGCGGCCGGCCCCGCGCCGCCGCCCGCTCTCGCCCTCCCCGGGGCTCCGGGGAGGGGACCCGGCGGCAGCCGCCCGGCCGAGGGCGCGGGGGAGAGCGGCCACGCGTGCCCGGGGCGGGGGCTCACACTCACATTCTGTCGGGAACTAGCAGGCGGCCCTCGACCATCATGTCCGGGAGGAAATCCAGCTTGAAGGCAGAAGTCATGTTCTCGGCGCGCGCGCTGCGCTGCGCTCGGGCGGCGGGGGGCGGCGGGGGGCGGCGGTGCGCGCGTCCGAGCGGCCGCGGGCGGCGCGAGACGGGCAGGGACAGGTGCGCGCGGCCTCCCGGCGGCGGCCGCCCGAGCCGGCACTTGTCACATCCTCTCCCCTCCCGCTCTCCGCCAATCCCCTCCGAAAGCCAGCGCCCCGGCGACGGTCTGCGGAGCGCCAGGTGCGGGGAGCGGAGGCGGAGCTCCGCGCCCGCCGCGCCGCCGCTTAACCCCTGCGGGCCCGCCCGCCCGGCCCCCGGAGGGAGGGACCCGCCCGAGGCCGGCGGCTGGGGAAGCTGAGCTCACCAGCTTTAAAAATAGCCCGACTTTCCGAGGGCCCCCAGCCTGCAGCCAGGCAAACTAGTCCAGCACGCTGACTCGGGCCAGTTGCGCTCAATTCCCTGATTCCACGGCGCCTGGCACGAGGCCCGAACAGCCGCTCTAGTAGATTTAGTGCCACCGTATTGCCAGAGCCCAGTTCCCATGCCCGGCAAAACCCAGCTCCCAAGCCCGAGGGACACGGAACCCCCAGGAGTGTTTGCTGAAACGCTTTTCTGGGCGATCTGCTCGCCAGGGTAAGAACTAACAATAACAACTGATACAGCATTCGTGGCTAGCCCAAGTAAATATCAGATAAATGGCCCAAGTGACATTTAGGCACTTAGCCCAATGCTTTAAAGGACAAAGAGGACTCAATCTCCACACAATTACATCGCCTTTGTATCCTCTCCACAAGAAGACGAAGTTGGGAGAATGTGAATGGCGGTAATCGCGTTTTCTTTTAAGAAGAAATCAAATCTGTCATTTTTCTAGGATTTAATAAAACTACCGAAAACCAACGGTGACTTTATTGAAAGGCTGTGAGATCTATAACGTAGTGGACGTGAAACTTAAACACCCATTTTAAGATTTGCAACTATTTACTAATAGGGTTTGAGAATGGCCAAAATCTCACAAATGAAGAGAAGCAGGGAGTTTAATTTTCCCAAGTGATTTGCAAAATTCTCGAATGGTAAGTAAATGGTGGCATTCTCACTCTTTTCATTGTTTGGTTATTAGGATGAAACCAAACATCTCACAATGTCACAAGTACCTAAAACTTCTCATAGCTCATGTGCAAAGCAGCATCATTAATTGCTTACCAGAAGTTTCCAGTTTGCCTCTTTCTGGTAATCACTTTTATTTTTCACACCTGGCGATGTAGTCGCGGTAACCAGGGGGTTAAACCATTAAGTCACGTGTGTAGTCAGATATATCAGGTGTGAGATGTTATCAAACACAATAACATGGAGAAAAGATCTACTCTCACCAACTTCTTGGGGGATGAGAAAACTGACCATCTTTGGAGATGATGAAGGAAAAGAAGTATTTATATACCAATGTTAAATCCAGGCTTGATGGACTGAGCGCTATGAAGTAATAGGCCTGGAGTATTCAATTAAGTCCATACATACTTAATGGACTCGATTTCCTTCTTCAGCTGAACCATATATCTGGTTTTGACCGAGAGAGTTCTAATTCCAAGGCCAATGTAGGGCTAGGACTAACCTTCATTTGAAAATACTGCCTTTCTGAGGAACAAGGTCTCAAAAAACAGATACAATAAAATGAATTCTTGGATCCAAAGTACCCAAACTTTTCCTGATAGCACTAATTTCCATTTATTCTCTAGCACTGCTACTACAGGCTGCCTTTGAAATTATAAGAATTTTGTTGGTCTTTCAATAATCTTAATAAGGTAATTAACTGGATAAATGAGACCAACCTTGTCAGTTCTTGGTTTTCATATATTATTTATATAAATCCCAAATGTATATAATGAGCTGACTGTATAACAAATTTATTTTAGAACTGGCCTCTAGAACAGAAGCAAAACATAAGCGCGTTAATCAAAGGGAGAAATATTTCCAAAAAGCTACATATCCACATTCTATAAGGTAGAAGAAGCTTCATTAACATGTACACTTCTGAAATATTTATTTTCTCTTTAATTGCATGTGAATTAGTTGGGAGAAGCTGTAGGGAAGCCTTCTTACTGACTTAAGCCTTCTCAGCAGTTTGTTAAATTCTAGTCTCAAATCCCTTGAGGCAATAGTGGATTCCAAGCAGCTTTTAATCATACTATGAGGAGGGTGAAGTAGTGTGTAAGTAGGTCATAGAGAGAGAATTACAAGCGCATAGGTTATTGCCTTATTTAACAACTACAGCGTACCTGAGTTTTCAAAGCACATTTGCTTTTGCCATTTAAAGTTAGAAGCAAAACCAGGGTCAGATACAAAAAGAAAACTCACTCTTACATTGGATACCGTGACGATGCGAACCAAGGAACGCTTATGGATGGCAGCTGACTTTAAATAGTTTGGCTGCTAAATACATAAATACTACAGTGATTGTACAGGTACCTGATGTAGGTGCCAAAGAGAAACAACACACACACACACACACACACACACGCACGGACACACGCACACACCCATAGGGTGTTGTTTCCATGATCATACCACATGCACAATAGCCCTTTTAAAAAAATACCAATTTCAAAAGCTCTTGAGTCTAAAAACGAAAACAAAACAAAAACACCCAACCAAATATCACCTGATGAAAGGCATAAATTTCTCGTTTCACTGCTTTGGCAGAAGGAAAAAACAAAATCTAAAAACAAATCAATTGGGCCCCTTTTTTAATTTTCATGCAGTAATGAGCCATCAGGTATCATGTTTTGGCAGTCGGTTTTTTGGCAGACAGCTCCACTGGGCCGCTGTTGAACACTTGGGTTCAATGGAGCTATTTTATATCCAAGGATCTTATCAACAGCCCTGAAACGGGATGAGGCCCTCGGCGGGGCCCACTCATGGACTTGACCTGGTTGGGGACACCACTGTGTGCCGCCATCACTGGGGACAGGTCTGTTGGGAACAATGAAGGGTTCCTCCTCGTTTTCACTTCACTGTAGAAAAACCTTAACCTCTTCCCTAGGCCCATCCCCCTACCTTCCCTAATTGTCTTTTTTTTTTTTTTAATCAACTTGCTATTCATTTCCCAAACAAAAGGCAATTCAAGAATTGGAAGCACTTCAAGGGAAAGTTTCTGAATGACCTCATTTTATATGAGGCCTTCCAAGGCAATGGGGGGGTGGGGACTGTGCTGTTTCAGCAAGCCTTTCTCCCCCTCATGCCTCATCTCAAACTGAGTTTTCTCCAATGGTCATTGTTTGAACACTGAATTATCACTGGCATAAAAAAAAAAAAAAAAAAACCCACAAATTCTCAATAGTAACAGCGTGCTAATAAAATGTATTTGTGCTCGGACTACACACTGAGACAACCAGAAGAATCCTATCCCTGTCACCCCACTCCATCAATGAACCAGAATATAGTCCTTTGATTAGAGAGCTTTCAACATTTTCACATAAAGTTTACAACCATAACTTAGAGATGGATGCTTGAGACATGGCGATTGGTGTTTATAAGCAAACAATTGTTTTTCCCCTACAGACCACCTTGTCTATTTTATGACAAGTTTCCATTTTTTAATTGTTCCCACACATGACGTCACATATTGCAATCTCTTTAAAAGCACGAGACTCTCGGCTACCATAGTTATATCAGTCCTGCTCTGTTTACTCAAAAAGCCTCCTTCACGAAAGGGTCTCTCCCCCACCCCCTCCACTTCTGGTTCACCGTTACAAACTGGAATCCAAAACATCTTTCCCCTATCACATTTTCAAATTCAAATGTTATGAACATAGCTGTTTTAGCTTAGGAAAAAAAAAAAAAAAGCCTAATGTGCTCAGAGCCATTTGGAGCAAGAAATACAGGCCCTATGAGGGGATTTCCCATCATTTCTAGCCAATAAATTTGAAATCCACATGAATTTTAAGTACCTGAGAGAGTATCTGACTTTGTGGCCATGTGTTTGTTATTGCTTATTCCAGTTTCATTAGCAACTTGCAAACATAAACAATGGTGTTTTTCATTTGATTAAAAAAACCCAAACAGATCCTTACGTGATACATTTAAATATATTTTTTCTTCATCCCATAAGGTATCCCTTAAAAATACCTTTATCACGAATTATAAATTTAAAATGATACTTTATTATTCATTAACCCCCTCCCAGCCCCTATTTTCAATCGAAAGCTTTAATGGTGACTTTGTCACATCCCTGAAAGGACTTAAATAAAATTAAATGCCAATAAAGATGAAGCAGTTATTAAAGTCTTATTTTACATTTTTACGGGAATTTTAAGTAGTCACTCTCCCTCGAGAACAGCTGCTACTAGCTTTTTGCAATCTTGTGTTTTTCTGAATCTGTTTTTAATAAAGCAAAAATACATAATGGCGAATTTATCTTCCTTCTGAAGAGGTCCTTAAAATGAAGATGGTTCTCTGTATACATACCTTCATGCTCCGAAATGAGACGCCCCTCTAGAGTTTCCAGAAGCTTCCATTCCAAGGGGATGAAATGCTAACACCGTGGGTCTGTCAGACCCAGAGCCCAGCCAGCTCATCACTTCCCTCTCCACCTTGGCCTTCCCCTTGCCTTTCTCCATGATACCGGCGCTGCCTTCTTTTTGTTCCCCCTCTTAGCTTTCTCTCTCAGATGGCAGCCAGGCAATGCCAGAAGCTTCCCCCTACAGCTGCATGTCTGAGGAGGCAGGTGACTATCAAAGTGAAGGGAGTTGTGTTTGGTTGCTTATCTGCAAGTTTGCCTCGCCTTGACCAGAGCTGGTCTCTGAACTGGGAACAGCTGTCTTGGAGTGAGCCAGGGGATTCCTTTCCAGACATGACCAGAGGGCGGGAGGGGGAGGATGCAAGTCTGTGTGTCCCAGGAAGTGAGGACACAGGACGTGAACATGGAGAAGAGTGAAGAAACAGTGGGCAGAGGCAAAAGGTCTAGTGTGGTGCTCTGCACATGAAGGCACTCAGTGAAAACCTCTGGAGGAATGTTCCATTGGCTTCCGGAAGATCCCAAGATGGGTAGGACTACACCAGGTACCCTTATCTGGTGCCAGGCTGGCGGCAGGAACAAAATTTATACCCATCAGAATGAGGCGTTTAATTCTCTGGCAATGTGGCCTCCAACCTCCCCCCTCCCAATCCCCACAAAAGATTGTCCCCGAT